TATTAAAATGTGTGGGGATCAGCTAGAGCCAAGAAAATAATACATATTTTAAGGGGTTTAAGTAAATTAATCACTACGAGGAATTAGGTGCTGTCAGCTGCTACGATCGTAGGAAGGACCTTTAAGTTAAGTCTATAAGAAGCGCACAGAACTGACAACTATATAATTATCAAGTTAATGTAACTGTTGCCGCGGGAGCGGGGAATTTAGGCTGTTCCACTAAAAATGCAAAACTAAAGTACCGAATTCATCACCAGTATTATAAAGTTATAATTCATCACCTTATTTTTGTACCAGCTGTGATTAGTTTGTGACGACACGACGGACACGCGTACCACCTGCTCCTTAATGATATTTAATATTACAGGATATCGTACTTGTAGGAGTCCTTGTCCAATGACTACATTAAAGAGATAATATTTTATTATTACTAACGCTAATTTTATCATTTTCTAAATTTCTCCTAGTGACGAACGAGGCCACTTTCCCGACTCAGTAACTTGTAATTATTAGCGTTAATTGTTAATATTTAGTCTCGCGATCATGCACTATTCTTGATAAGATTTTCAATCATTAACTCGGTCGGGATCTGATTATAATGGCATCTGCAATGTTGGCGAACAAAATCGAAATTAAACTTCAGTCGTTTCCCAAGTAGTTATTTAAATACTATAATATGTGTTATGACCAGAGGACTTCCATGTCCTCAAAGAAACCATCAAACCATTGGTAGAAAAAACCTTATAACCTTGTTGCCTGCACAAGAGCTATAATTCTAACTGCACATCCACATTTTTTGTGGACAAACTGATATGAATCTTATCTGCACAAAATGTTATGCTGTCTATAACACTACACTTTTTTGCGTGTCATCAAAGAAACCATGTAAACTGAAACCATAAAACTGCTGTGAAGTTGAAAGATGTGAAAGTGAAATGGTTTCTTTGTCTCAACCCTCACACCATCCTTCTCTCCTCTTCTTCTTTGTATCTTAACTAATACCCACACAATAGATCTCAAACCACGTGACCACTGATTAAGTGATTACAATTGGAGATTGTGATTGGTTGATATCAGATCATGTGACACTAATCTTGGTATCTCATTGGCACTGAATCAATCTCCTCCAGTATCCTACATTCTTCTGCCCACTTAGCAGTATAAGTTGTCAAGACCAGGTGTTATAATCCAAGAATCAGTCCGATTTAACCGCCTCTCAAATCACCATCCTCCTTCAGAGACTTGATCACACTAATCAGGTAACTTTGTCTCTTATATATATATATATCTTTCGTATATAGTTTGGGAGTCCTGGCGTGCAGCTAGCAGGAGTTGCATTCTGTGGGCATTGTGATAAGACCTCCCTCTTAAAGTAGGAGGCCAGAAACCGTTGACCAGAACAGAGAGAGAGAGAGAGAGATCAGGTAACAGTCGGAACTCTGTAATAGTTTTCAGGTGCTGTGTTACTTTACCAGAGTAGTTATTGTTCGGACCACCCACCGTGGAGTTTCATGTTGTAGGTATCTCTGTGAATTGTAACTATTGTTTTCAACTATAGCGAACTTATCGAAGCCTTTCATAGCAGCTGGCGTAATATGAAATAGATCTAAAATGTTTGCAAAAGTCAAGACACCGAGTCCTAAAAACCCTCGCTCCCCTCCCCCCGCGCCCTACCCCGCGTCCCCCCCACCTCCCTCGTATGATTTAAATAATGTTCCTCAAATGCTCACACAATATCTCTCGAACTCGCAACCTCTCCAAATGCTTGCGGAGTACCTCCCTTGGAACACTTAAAAGAGGTTAATTATTCTAGATTTAGTCGCAATCCAATCACGCAAGCCTCCTAATCAGATTGTCAGGGTGAAACAGCTGGGATATCTCTTGAGTATTATAGTAGATAACTTCTGGAGAAACATTACACACGTGTGGCGTGTGCAGCTCTTACACTGTGTTGCACTCCATTATAAGATTGGTGTTTACAACTGCGGTGTTGTGGGGATGCAATCAGCTACTTGTTTAGACTGGGAGTAAAGGCATATTATAGGTACAATGCTGCTAGATGGCTATTAGCCGGTTGTTAGATGGCTATTAGCCGGCTGTTAGATGGCTATTAGCCGGCTGTTAGATGGCTATTAGCCGGCTGCTAGATGGCTATTAGCCGGCTGTTAGATGGCTATTAGCCGGCTGCTAGATGGCTATTAGCCGGCTGTTAGATGGCTATTAGCCGGCTGTTAGATGGCTATTAGCCGGCTGTTAGATGGCTATTAGCCGATCAATAGCCCTCTAACAGCCGGTTGGTATTTTGCCTATTAACCGGTAAAATTAATCAGCTCTGCAGTACTGTGGTCAGTGTGGTGGTACGTGGTGTGTAAACCTAGTTCAGTTATCGATAAATTTTTTGGCCTGATTAAATAATTTTACAGCAGATATACTTAGGTTTTAACGTGGATTTTAACGCGGATTAGATATTCTAGCGGCGACGGATCCGTTTATTTGCAAAAGAGAGTGGCTCAGCTTAGAGAAATAGTTGTATAAGTACAAGATGTGTGGTTCAGTCTAAATATCTTAAATTACTAGACAAGTCGTATGATCTATAAATAACAAATTGCGTAAATTTTAAGTTGGAGTACGCCTGATAAACATGGATGAGTTGTGTGCGATTAGATTTATTAGATTGATCTCTTATTATATAACATGCAGGTATCGACACCACGAGACAAGACTTCACGGACAATATGTCTAGTCGAGGTCTTTATCGCCGTATAAGTAGGATATCTCCTTATGTGTAGCTCGAATATACTTTCAACACTTATACTATATGACAAATAATTTGAGATAATGAATACGATGTTGTAACATTGAGACGTTGAGTAGGTTCCTTTTCTGATAAGAGTATTTTTCCTTGTCGCATCAAACGGGATCAATACAAATTTACACAAGAATACATTGCATCCATGCGACTCATAAACAATATTCCGATCCGGATTTTACATAGTTCGAATAGGTGGTCGGATCCAAGATTCATATAAGCGTAAATATTAAAGTAGCACTAGTGAGTACTGAGTACTAACCAACATTTTACATTAGTGAGTACTGACCAACATTAGTGAGTACTGACCAACATTAGTGAGTACTGACCAACATTAGTGAGTACTGACCAACATTAGTGAGTACTGACCAACATTAGTGAGTACTGACCAACATTAGTGAGTACTGACCAACATTAGTGAGTACTGACCAACATTAGTGAGTACTGACCAACATTAGTGAGTACTGACCAACATTAGTGAGTACTGACCAACATTAGTGAGTACTGACCAACATTAGTGAGTACTGACCAACATTAGTGAGTACTGACCAACATTAGTGAGTACTGACCAACATTAGTGAGTACTGACCAACATTAGTGAGTACTGACCAACATTAACAACTTCTGGTAAATTAAATCAAATCGGATTTGAGAGCAAAAAATGTGTCTAGAATTAAGTCGTCACCCAACTTGAGAGACAAGTTTAAGATTAAGAATATTTTGAGCATCTCAGATATTAGGAATCTGCCCTTACGAATAAGAAGTAAGATACATGAATAAAGTAGTTATCGTGAGCTCTAATCACTAATGAACAGGAAAAGCATTCTTAAGCAAATTCAACGAACAAATACAATAAGAACATATTTAAAATAATTAAAATACCCGACCGCAACGTTAGTCAGGAATTAATATTGTCTAATATTCGGATATTCTAAAATAGTCTAATATTGGAAATATTCAATAGTCATGAATTAATATTTTCTGTATTTCAGAACAGTGTATCACTATCAGTAGGCACTAACAGTGGCACTATCAGTAGGCACTAACAGTGGCACTATCAGTAGGCACTATCAGTAGGCACTAACAGTGGCACTATCAGTAGGCACTAACAGTGGCACTAACAGTGGCACTATCAGTAGGCACTAACAGTGGCACTATCAGTAGGCACTAACAGTGGCACTAACAGTGGCACTATCAGTAGGCACTATCAGTAGGCACTAACAGTGGCACTATCAGTAGGCACTATCAGTAGGCACTATCAGTAGGCACTATCAGTATGCACTATCAGTAGGCACTAACTATCAGTAGGCACTAACAGTGGCACTATCAGTAGGCACTAACTATCAGTAGGCACTAACAGTGGCACTATCAGTAGGCACTAACTATCAGTACACACTAACAGTGGCACTATCAGTAGGCACTAACTATCAGTAGGCACTAACAGTGGCACTATCAGTAGGCACTAACAGTGGCACTATCAGTAGGCACTAACTATCAGTAGGCACTAACAGTGGCACTATCAGTAGGCACTAACTATCAGTAGGCACTAACAGTGGCACTATCAGTAGGCACTAACTATCAGTAGGCACTAACAGTGGCACTATCAGTAGGCACTATCAGTAGGCACTAACTATCAGTAGGCACTATCAGTAGGCACTAACAGTGGCACTATCAGTAGGCACTAACTATCAGTAGGCACTAACAGTGGCACTATCAGTAGGCACTATCAGTAGGCACTAACAGTGGCACTATCAGTAGGCACTATCAGTAGGCACTAACAGTGGCACTATCAGTAGGTACTATCAGTAGGCACTAACAGTGGCACTATCAGTAGGCACTAACTATCAGTAGGCACTAACAGTGGCACTATCAGTAGGCACTAACTATCAGTAGGCACTAACAGTGGCACTATCAGTAGGCACTATCAGTAGGCACTAACAGTGGCACTATCAGTAGGCACTAACTATCAGTAGGCACTATCAGTAGGCACTATCAGTAGGCACTAACAGTGGCACTATCAGTAGGCACTAACTATCAGTAGGCATTAACTATCAGTAGGCACTAACAGTGGCACTATCAGTAGGCACTATCAGTAGGCACTAACTATCAGTAGGCACTATCAGTAGGCACTAACAGTGGCACTATCAGTAGGCACTAAGATATTTGGGAATTAACATTTCCTTTATTTCAGCCGCTAATCAGTAGACTGAACGTCGGGGAGGGAACATTTCAAGACGTCCCTATTCAGCCCACATTCCTGCAAGTCTGTGTGCTGGGGGCCGGGGACAGCTTCGTGAGTTTATCTTTACTTATAGCTATTAATTTAATTATTTTATTTATAATGTAATAATTAAATTAATCATATAGCTATACTTCTAGCTACTTAGTACTTATAGCTATACTTCAAGTACTTAGTACTTACTACTTATAGACAACTGAACCCAATTTAGACATTTAGATTAACCCTAACTCTAGCCCTAACCCTAACCCTTACTCTAACCCTAACCCTAATTCTAACCCCAACCATAACTATAACCCTAACCAATTAAGCTGATTGGTTAGTGGGAACTAGGTTCAATTGGGTTCAGTTGTCGGTCACTTTACTTAAAGCTATACTTCTAGCAGCTAGCTACTTAGTACTTACTACTTATAGCAAAATTTGTTACAGTTTTTTAAAACTTTTAGCTACTTGAATCTATACATATATGTAATAATAATATTTTACATTTGTTATTATTTTACAAGAATGAACAAATATTTTATAATTTGCAACATTACTTTACCCAGCCTGATAACCATACAACAGTCGAATCAAAACGGTAAATAAAACTATAATACAAAACGGTAAATTAGATAATATATTTAGTAAATAATTTATTTTGTATTTCTCAGGGATTATCCACTCTGGTGTACTCTGAAGAAATCTCCTGCGGGATAGTATCTTTGGGGGCAGAGTGTATCGAGATATCAAAAGAGTTCTTCCTCAAAAATGCGACAGAAAATTATCTTCGAAAGCTCAAAGCCACGGTTAGTTCAGATATAATGCAGTTATAGAAGTGAGCCACAATTCTAAAAAAGGTTTAATAACTGTTAAAGTCAAGAAGCATTTAGTATTTAGCTTAGTGTCACTGTGACCTTGGTTTCAGTCAATGAGCGCAGCAGGAACTGAAATATCGTCTAACTCCTGAATTTGTGTTTCTATCTTTGAATCTTCTACTCAAACAGTTACTAAGTATTTACTAATTATTTACTTAGTATTTACTATCTATTTACTAAGTTACTAGATAACAAATCTCCAATTATTTAACAATCTGTATTTCAGATCAGACCCTTCCCCTCCGAAGATAAACTCCAACAAGACATTCAGGATCAGAAGCTCTGGAATAATTACAAAAACACTGTAGTTGCTTCTGTTTTGGATCCCAGCAGCATATGATCATTACAACAGACTTTTTATTTTCTCATCCAACTTATTTATTTCTATGAAATTGGAAATGGGGCTCTCAGAAAGAGAAAGAAAGAGAGACGCTGATCAGAGACTGAGTTTTGTAACCTTGCTACTGCAGTGTGCAGACTATGTTATCTCTCAGGGGCCGTGTGGATCAAGTCTTGGAGGATTATTTTATGCGATTAGATTTCTAAATAAGTTATAGTTGAAATAACATAGCTAGTAGGGAGCGTAGGAAAATAATTAGATTTTCCTTTTTCATAACGAAGATAATATGTTAATCCCTTCGATCATATTAGTACTTCTATTTTTATCTTTTGGCGGCGGTATATTTATTTCGAATTGTAAGTTTTTTGTATATCAACACTGTGAGTTAATGTGTGTGTTTTACATGATGTAAGATTTTAATGGAATAGTATATATATTTAATGTATAAATACATTATATTCGAGCAGCTAATGAGCTGGATGAACTGACTCAACGTCAGAAAGAAAGCGAAACTTATTTAACGTCAGAAAGAAAGCGAAACTTATTTATTGTAGAACTTCAATTTCAGCCGCCTTTTTTAAAACTAAGTAATTTTACAGTGAACACTCATTCTTTGAGTTTGAGAGTTTGAGGGGTCCTTTGTTGCACTACACTGAATAATCGAAAGCAGAATTGTAAAAACTGTCAACCCTAATTGGGCTGATACAATTTTCATTCCGAAACCGCGTAAAATCAGGGTTCCTTTGTATTCAAGTATTAACTTTTACTTTATTGTACATACTACATTCTACTTTCTACAATCAGTTCATAGTATTTCAGTAATAGAACATAAACTCTATTTTATGCACCTGTTTGATTGTCTCCCGGATATAGCATATGCTTATAAAATCAATCAGATGTCAGGGGCCACTACTTAAGACGTTCGGCATATAATAGGGAGGGGTGGTTTAGGAATTTCGGACAGGGGTATTGGTGGTTAACAAAAATTCGGACATAAAATTCGGTGAACAAAATAAAGTAAAAACTGCATTTTTAAAGGAATTTAATTTGTATTATTACGAATTTTATTTTGTATTATTATTAAAAGTTGTTGAAAATCCGGACGTCTGAAAATCCGAGATATTGCAGCGGACGGCCTAAGTAGATGGCCCCTAACACAGAGCGGCCAGATATTTCATCGTAGATCGAACTGTTATACTTTTAGAACGCTACACGGTACACGGTATACATGTCCCTCGTGCCAAAAAGTATATGAGACATAAAACATGTGTCAACGTTGTTGCTGTTAAGATGTTATACAGTCTGACTGACATGAATATTTTTGCCTTCATGTTGATGTAGTAATTTGATTTCGACCGAAGAAATTTTCAATCAAAACTATAAATGGCCGTTTATAGTTTTTATTGAAAATGTCAATCCCTGCATGGATGATATTAAATTTGTCTGGCTACTTGACCACGTTACGGACGAAAAGTCCACCTATCTGCTGAAGGAGGCTCTTACTAATTCGCTCGCCCAAAAATTTCACGTGACTTTGGTTTTTATGGTTTTGCAGAATGCAGCCGTACACAACGGTTTTACATAAACCCTTATCCTAACCATAACCTCGAAGCTAATCATAATATAACCCTTACCCTAACCCGAGCCCTAAACAATCGAATTCGTATTTTACTTGACCATTGTTAATGGTCTGGCCCGGCGCGCGCTACTTCGTAGCACTTGCCGTCGGGCCATTTCGAGAAGAAAGCGGCGCGCGCTACAGGCTACTTCGAAGAAATTTAGACGAGTAACATCCGTCAATAAAATACCTAAGTTCTGGTGTCAAACTAGATATGTCTGAATTCTTTAAGCTTGAAGAGTTGAAATGTGTATAAAATTTGTTTTAAAGACTGGTTTGGGGCTGGATCATGTTAACTTGAATTTTATTTTTAAAGAATGTAGATATTTTTGGTAAATGATTTGCTGTCATATGCTCATATGTGGGTGGCTTGTGGAGATTTAATTTTCTTGTATGACAGTTACATCATAAAATAAAGTTGTCATCCAAATTCAGCCGTAATAATTGGCGTTTACTTTGTCACGGAATGTACTCCAAATAAAAGAAACTCATACTTTTCCATTGTATAATTTGCTATCAATTTCAAATTATCTTCAATTAAACAGAACAATGTAAAAAATTCAGTAGGAGGGAGAGATAGTCCATAAATATCGCTCGAAGAAAGTTAAACAATAGCGCCAGTAATCCTGTATCTGGTCAAAACCTGGCACAACTTAGCGAGTTTAGAAGGTTTGAGATGTTATTTGTACTCCCTAGGGTCTCTACTTCAAAAAAAATTTGGGTGGATAATTTTTTATGTGTCTTTAAACCCGTGACCACGCCCTTTTTAAAGCGTGGGAAAAGTTTGACCAAAATTATTAAAATTTGCCTAGAATATTTGATGGGGGTCTCTAAATGGCTTGTTATGATGCCATCAGTATTACTAGAACATAATAAAATAAAATGTGGGTAAATAAAAGTGGAGTTGCACCCTGACCACGCCCATAAACACAATTTTTGGCGGAAAATTCGGAAAATTCGAAGTTGTCTACTTTAGCAGCAGAGAGGTGTTTAGTTTGTATTTACACTGCTGAATCGAGTTAAATAGGTTATATAAATCACTAAATTCAATTAATTGAGCATGTTGAGCCATTAGTTCAGCCTTGGGGAACCACGCCCATATTTCATATTAGGCGCGTATGTGAGAAATTTTTATCTCAGCTTCTGAAGGCCGTAGAAACTTAATCTTTGGCTTAAAATTACCGCAATATGTAAGTTTATATTGACACTATTAAGGTGCTGAAGCTCCCCGGGACTCACTTTTGGATAAAAATGAGAAAAACTGATATTTACTGAAGTGCAAGTTACAAGAAAACTACCCTAGCAGCTAGGTTAAGTGAAGTAAGCACTTCAATGTATACAATTTTACTCGACACAGTGTCCTTCGTAAGGTCTAAATGTCATTCTGAGCTAGAATAATTTGATTTCGGGTGCCAACTTTTATCAGTAGTCCAACCCTGGCCTAGGTGATAACATTTCTAAATTGCCCTCAGGCGCAAATACATGATTTTTCTATCCATCTCAGCTCCTAAATATTATAGGACATTCAAGATAACCACAACAGCAGAATGGCCATATTTATATACACGCTATGAAGCAGTATGGGGTCTATATTTCATAGTTTTTGAGATATTTATTTTTAAAACATGATTTTTAAAGATATCTTGGGCTTAAAAGACATTAACAATATAACAAACGTTCAACACTACCGCATTTATGTAATATCACATCTCCCGAGCTACTGCATCTCTCAAGCTACTTAAATCTGAAGCTTGATGCATCAACTACCGTCTAACAGCACCATCAGGTCATCATAGAGATCACAGGCAACCCGCCGGTCAGCTATCTCTAGCTAAGCTCATTTCAGTACCCGTTGACTATAATATATGCCCACTTTTATGTCAGTACAACCACATCTAGCAAATTCCAGCTGAAGCTACTAACAGTTACCTCCAGCCATATCCTATTTTTACTTTTCCCTCCAATTCTAGCTCTTTCCACCGACCTCAATCTCATTTAGGAAACTCCAGCACTAGCTAACTGCAGCTCTAGCTATCTTCTGCTATTATCCTTTCCCTCCAATATTAGCTCTTTCCACTGACCTCAATCTCATCAAGCAAATTCCGGCTTTACCAACCTTCATTAACCTCCAGGCTCCAACTCTTCCTTGTTGCTGTCCTCTTCAACTAATTGTAGCTTATAGCCTGCTAGCTATCACCAGTATCACCATATCACCAGGATTTGGCCGGATATTCAACCGGAAATTTCTTTTTAAAATGTTCCTGAAATGTATATTAGGACGTAATGAAACTACCGGACCACGATGTATGGGGACTTGCCACCCCATGGCAACATTAAAATATATCGACTCTGTTACACTAATTGCATACGTTGCTCTTTTCTTACTCTCTTATCTTAGTGCTTATCTCTGTTGATTGTAACGTGCAGCTACAGTGGTTTGTGTATCACCGTGTTACACAACCATGACCATCCCGCCCAGCGAGTATGGTGAAAAGGAGATCAACATGTTAAGGGGTGACTCAGTTGAACTTCTCAGCAAGGCTATGTACGAGATGGAGATCACAGCAATGAAGCAACTATCCCCTTCGTGCGTGAAGAAGATGACCAAGAACACTGCGTGTGACTTGTTGCACGATGCATTAAGATATTTAGAGGAGTTCACTGGTGTCGTATCCACGGACTACAAGATGGCCTCAAACTCAGTTAAACATCTTATGTTCGAGACACAGGAGACCATCATTAAGCTGCAGTCAGAACTACTAGCCTGCAAAAATGAACAGTTGGAATCGTTGCAGACGTCAGTTAAATCGTCAGTCGGAGAGTCTGTCAAGGCTGAATTCAAATCCTTGAGCTCGGTATTACAGGCGAATTGTCCAGAATCTCAGAAGCCTGTCAGTTCTGAAATGATCAAGAAAGCTGTGAAAACTGTGGTACAGGAGGAAGACCGAAACAAAAATCTGATGATTTTTGGTTTATCGGAGCAGGACAATGAGGAGCTCAGCACCGTGGTCAGTGAAGTGTTCTCAGCAATCGGAGAGAAACCCAGAATCGAAGCTAGTAGAGTCGGAAAGCTCAAACCTGGCAAGGCTGTGAGACCAGTTAAAGTGACTGCGGCAAGTGCAACAATTGTTAATCAGATTCTCGCTAAATCGAGAAACCTGCGAGCAACGGAAAAGTTTAAAACTGTTTTTATCAGCCCAGATCGATCTCCAGAACAGAGAGCCAAGCAAAGAGAACTCGTCAGGGACATGAAAAAACTGGTAACTGAGCAGCCTGATAAGCTACACTTTATCAGAAACGGTGCTATAAAGAGTACTGATAAGACTAATAAGACTGCAGAATGAGCTTGTGTGTTTTTAATAATTGATTATTATTAGTGTATTCAAGTTTTTGTTGTGTGGAGGATGTTTTAACTCACTTTTGTGTGCCCAGTCTTGCACTGTCAGTATTTCTCGACACTTTGAGCACACAAAACTGTCAGTTTTCGCGACAATTGTCAGATTTCGTTTTCAGTTCTGTCAATTTCAAGCGCTACTAGCTCTACTACTAGTAGTCTACTTCAGCTCACATTAAAGGGAGTTTTCGTCGTGCGTGTAGCGCCCTTCAAGTTTAACTTGGACGGATAGGATTTATAAAACTTCTGATTATAATATTTATACTATATTGTATTTTGTATCTATGTATTTTAGTAAATGGTCATTAGAACCACCGGCACCGTCCGGGCCCAAACAAACAGTTACATCGTTTCCTGTTAATATAAAACTCCGTTACAAAATGAACTGGGATCTGGCAATACTACACCTTAGTTCGATAAAATATGATAAAGTAATGTATAACTAGACTTAAGTAAAAGTCTGAAAGAATATAGAATTCTTGCTAAAGGGCATCCAGTCAGTGCTCTCAGTGACCAGTGAATTCCACGCCTCCACGGTCGCTTGTTATCTGTCAGCGAATTTTCAAGATCAGTTGATGCGAGATTTTGTGTAACACAGAGAGTCAAAACAGCTATCATTTATGTTTTATTTATGAGCATTTCAAGCAGAGGGTCCCTGCTTTATTGTGGAAAGCAAATCCGTGGCTATAAAAAGTTGCTATAAAATCTAGATTTGATGATACTGGTGATAGCTAGCAGGCTAGAAGTAACAATTAGTTGAAGAGGACAGCAACAAGGAAGAGTTGGAGCCTGGAGGTAAATGAAGGTTGGTAAAGCCAGAATTTGCTTGAT